CCCCCCACATACCCCTTCACAGTCACTGTCCATCAGCGTAGTAAGATGCTGTAAAATCACTACTTGTCTTCTCTGTTGCACAGCCCTCCCCGTGCACCACCCCCCACTATACATGCTAATTGTAATGCCCCCTTTCTTTTTCCCCGCCCTTGCAGGGAACTTTTTTATTAACAAGAATCTTGCAGGGGTTGGCTGTGCTCCTCACCCTCTCTGGAAAGCCGCCCGAGTCCTTGAGTCAGGCGCTGCTGCTGAGAGGACAGAGCAGAGGGCAGTGCCCGCAGCCCCGGGAGCTCCCTGGTGAGCCGGCTGTGCCTCCCGGGGCAGGAGTGCATCCTCCTCGGACCAGGCCACCAGCCCAGTTGAAAACTGGGAGCAAAGAAAGGCAAGATGGCCAGTGGGAACATCAGAGAAACCTGCAGTAAATGTTATGCTGAAACAGGCTGGTCCCACATTATTGCAGGTGGGCTGTCTACACTTAGGTGGACTTCAGATGAACAAGGTCAGAGAGCAGATTTGTAGTTTGGTAAGGAACAATAAATTAGAGAAGGAACCTTCTAGTACAATAGATCTGATTGTGTGCCAGGCTGCTTTTTAGACAGATTACACAGCTCTGGTGGTTTCCCCAAGGCACTTCCTAAACAAGCATCAGATTACAAAATGGTGGGTGCTTGGCCGCTTGGCAAACCCAGAATTAAAATGAAGATAGTTTTGTTTTGTTTTTTTCAAAGAATGTTTCCATTAAAGTTGGGTCCTGCTGCTTTGTTCCTATTTCTGGTCTCTAGATAACTGGAGTCGGGTTAGAATCAGGCTCCCTTGGTGGCATGCTGATGTGTGACACCCTCCTGCAACCTGGCCTTACCGTGGACTTGACTGTCCACCTTTGCATTGCCCAATTTTAATGAGAGTCTTGGTAAGTCAGCTTAGAGAGAATTGGCCTCCCCTGATGTCTGATCGCATTCCGTCCACCAGCTCCCTGACCTGCTCCTTGACTGTACATGCCCCCATCCGTAGTGCACTTGGAACTGAGCCTGGTTTTATACTGACGTCTCTTCTCTCCTACTGCAATAGTGCTGGACAAAATCTGTTTTTAACACTTTGCTATCCAGCTCTGGCTCTCACCGCACTGTGTACTCTCACTCCAAGTCTTGCCTTTTGCTGGAATCCTTGACCCTTGCTACCCAGGCATCCTGTCCTTCTCTAATACCTGGAGGCTGGACAGCCAAAGTGTGTCACACAGGGTGAGTTTTAGCACAGCCAGTTGGACAAAGTCCAGGCCTGGATTAGGGAACACAGTGTACATTATTACTGGTCACACTGGCCAGAACACAATTGTAACAGGCCAGCACATCAGAGGTGGGTGTGGAGCTAGGGAGACAAAGAGGCTTTGTCTGAGGGGCTGGCAGCTCGGCTGGCGGACTCCTGTTTACCATTGGAAATTGGGAACTGTGCAGCTAAAAGTCTTAAAGATCAAAGTTAAAGTCTTGGAGGAGACAGATTTGCTCAGAAAGTGAGGATTGAAGGGCAAATGAGGAACCAGTTAGATTTGTTTCTGAGATTTGATCAGCCAAATCATTACGGTCTATCTATCTTTCAATAATTAAACGGCCTTATAGCTATTTATAAAACTATTTTTCATTCTCCATGGAAAAAATACCATTGTTGTCATGACTCTGAAAATCCCTGGCTTGTCTCTTGTCTTTTAAATCAATAAACAACTTTTATGACACATATTTGGACACAGCATTTTGTTAAACAATTGTCTAATTGTGGATTGACGTGATATACATGTAAGTGTCTCAGTGATATATGGAGATGGCCTTATCTGACTCAAGAGATTCGTCCACAGGTGGTTCGCTTGCTGTGCAGTAATGTCCGTAATCCCCCATCACATGTTTGCCATACCCTCAAACTCGTTTTATGCTTGGCTTTCTCCATGTGCTGATATGAAATCGTATTAGATCTGACTGCTAATGAGTATGGGCTGATTTTTAGGACGATGAAAATGGAAGAACTTGACAGTGGCGATGCTTCCATGACTTTGGGACTATATTAAAAATCTCTAAGTTTTACACCTTAAAACTTGTGAATTTTATGGTATGTGAATTATTTCCCAATAAAAATAATTACTGTGTTTTTTGGTTAAAAGTGGCAGATTAACTACAATGCTTACTTTCCTTTGTAAAAAATTACTAAAATTATAGTAGTAAAATATTCTTAAAAGGTAAAGGATTAAAAAATATTTTTATTCCATGGGGGCAGTGGAGAATTTGAAAGGTTTTTAGCCCCCAAAGAAAAGGAGATACCAAAAGATGAGAGGTTGAAACACATTTGAGAGACAGGAAGTGGGTGGAGGTGGTAACTGTCCTGGTAGAGGGGAGAAGGTTCCATTTTAAGGGCTTGCCAGTTGATGCCATGGACAAGCATGCCCAAAGTAAGTGTCAGGACCCTGGAGCTCCACTCATGGAGAGGTATAGCAGGGATGAGGTCCAGAGCATGACGAAGCTGCACATTCCAAATGGACTCCCAGGTTCATGCACCAACTTGCTATTAAAAGGAAAAGAAGGGATCAAACTCAACAGTTCAAGCAGGTTGATTGCTAAACCTGAGAGGGACCTCTCTGTTCTGGCAAGCAGAACAAAGAAGGCATCTCTTACAGGCTAAGAGGTTTTTTTATGGCCAGGTTTTTTGGCAGGCTTTTGAGGGGATAGGTCAGGGAAAAGGTGGGCTTGTGGTTTGCTGATGTGTCCTCTGGAGAATGCTTGTAGCCTAAATAAGATGAAACCAGGTATGCAGGTTGGCATATTCAAAAAGGCAGTACTCCTATCCGGGCTCTTTCAGCTATGGTCACTGGAAGTTTATTATGGAGAAATTTGCAGACTCAGAAACTGTGGAGACCAGGGCTGATGGGCAGGCTTAGAAAAGGGGTGCCCCCTACTTTGATCACACAATATCAGTATGTTCACACTCCCTATCTTCCTACCCCCATCAGGCTGGAGGGTGGATTTCTGTTCCCTGAATGACCCCAGGGAGGTCTGTCCAGGTAAAGGACAATTAGGACCCCACTCATCAGCAAGCTCTGTGCTTGTCCTTGGAGCACCCAGTCTCGAATGCCCTACAAACAAAAATGGCCAATGCAAAATCACCAAAGGGGAAAGCTTTCACAAGGGGGGGACATGAAAACAAACCAGGGTGAAGGAACCCGGTATAAGGAAGGCAGCTGTGTGCAAGGAATGAAGCTAACAAGGAAGCAAACAAACAAAAATAAGCAAACAACCCCAAGACAGTAGAATCTCTGTTTTCCTAGAATTAGAGAAAACACTATGTACTTTGAAAAAGGGAAAAGGGAAAACAAGAAAACAAGAATGAGGTATCAGAATTTAGAAATATGATTGCCAAAACAATATATAAAATTGTGCAGGAGATGTATAATGAATAAAATAAGAAAACTTCATGAAAGTTGAAACGCTAAGAATTAGGAGCTGAGAGAGAAGAATGAGGTACAAGTCAGAGGGTCAATTTATTAGTTTTCAATAGCCAACTAATTCAGATTTCAGGCAGAAAAAAAAAAGACAGAGGGGAATAAGTTAATAAAAACAGCAAAAAAGAAAAATCACAGAACAGAATGTCTAAAATTTCCAGATAAAAATGGCCTACCAACTGAGGATAAAAAAGACTCATTGAAGGAATGGGGAGGTTTCAGGACAATTGGGTTAAAGTAAGAACTTAAACACTTATAGAGATTTTTTAAAAACTACAGAGGAAAGGTAATCTGAAAAGTCTGGAACCTCTCAACAATAGCACTGGAGGAAAAAGTACAGAAAAACAATACATCCACAATTCTGAGGGAAAATAATTTTCAACCTAGAGTTCTATACCCAAATAGGCAATCAAGTGTGAGAAAGAATAAAGCAGGTTGCAGGCATGCAAGCACTCAAAAAGATTCACCTATATACACCTTTCCAAGGAAGATACTGCAGGGTGTGTTTCAGGAAAATGAAGGAGCAAATAAAAAATGAGAATGACATGGGGTCCAAGACACAGGATATCTGTTACAGCTGAGCAATGAAGGGAAGTCCCTGACCTGCTTCAAGCTAAGAGACAAGCAGTCTGGAAGCAGAACAAGAGAACAGAGAATTACTCAAGACAGTAAGAGCAAATAATCATTTGATGTATTGCAATACTTGAAGAAATTATTGATATGTATTTGACAGATCTATTGGAATGTTTGGAAAAAAGTGAGTGTGCAGTAAATAGAAATCTAAGCAAATTAAAATGAATAAAAACATTTTATTATTCTTCTAATAATAAAAACAAAAACAGGATGATTATTAGTACCAGGAAAAATAACGTTGTAAAGAGGAAAAAAAACCCAATCATAGCTAATCACAAGTTTCTGTAGGAAAAATGTTTACACATTTATGGTAAAATATAAAATACTACCAATCTAACTACTTGGCAGTGAAGGACGGGTGGGTAAGGGGAACAAGAACCCTCATAGGAAGTCAAAGCCTCCCACAAATTAAGTGGCTGTGTGAATTATTTAGCAATATGGAAATAAATATAGAAAAAACAGTGAAAAAAGTTTCATGTGGTTGCCTCTGTTAAGCAGGATTATGATTGAGAGCCAAGATTTTCTGAAAGAGACTTTTAATTCCACTATAACTTTGTGAAAATGTTTTTTTGATAAATATAAACTCTCATTAAAATAGTGTTTATAGGAACTGTAAGGCTTCATTTTCTAGGACAATGTGCCAGAAGCTTAAGTGGCAGACGTTTGCTGTCTCATGGTCTCGGGATCCAGGCGTCGGCAGGGCTGGCCCCTCTGAGGCCACGAGAGAAGGACCTGTGCAGACCCTGGCTGGCTTGTGGACACACCCTGTCACCTGGTCTTGGTCCCCTCTGCACAGGCCTGTGTGTAAACGTGAGGGCTACAGCCCAGGGGTGTGGTGAGGCGGGACCGCCTGGGGCTTGGTGTGGGGAGCTGGTGCGGGGCCTCCTGGCTGCAGGACTGCGAGTGTGTGTGACGTGGCTGTCTTAGCCTGGCTTTTGTGCAGATTTTCTTTTGCCCTTTGTCTTGGCCTTTGTTTTTGTCTTTGTTTGGCCTTTGTTTTGTCTTTGTTTCACTCTTTGTTCAAACTTTCTTTGGCTTTTGTTTGGTCTTTCTTTAGCCTTTTGTTTGAACTTTGTGTGGCCTTTTTGTGGTCTTTGTGTAGCTTTTGTTTTAAGTGCATCTTGGCTGAGAACCCATCAAAAACACCTTGTGCAATGAAGAACCTGGATATATGATCTCTCCCTATATATTCTGCGTGTACTGAGGAGACCTCCACCCCCACACAGGGTCCTGCACAGACGTGGGACCTGTTCCGAACGGCTGCTACCCAAGGTAAGGAAGGGGCTCCTACAGATTTTCCTCTTACTTCTGCTGTACTTCATCCTCAGTGGCCAGCACCCATTCCTTTGTGTCCCAGTGGACACCGGCCGAACTAGCAGCCGAGTTTGGGAGGATGCAGAGTGATGGACAGGACAAGAGCAGGGGCCACTAAGGCTGTTCTGCCAAGGCGGGGGGCCCTCCTGGGCTCAAGTCTGGGAGCCACTGGCCTGGGGAGATGGGCCAAACCCCGACTCAGTTCTCCGAGGGGTCGAGCACATGCTCCTGGGACTGAGCCAGTGGTGGTGTTGGCATCTTCTTTTTCTTTTCCTTCTTTTAATATTTGTCATGATTTGAAAATGAGTTTTTCTTCTTATCTGGGAACAACTTCTTTCCTCATGCAGCTGGGCTTACGGGTGGAGGATACTAATGTGACAGAAAAGCCCGAATCTTGTTGGAATTTTGCCCCCCTGGAGACTAGCAACCTCAAATGGAAAGACATTCATGCTTTGTCTTGTCCACAATCCTTTAGAAATCAGTTTTTCAGTGTTGTGGTTGTTGGGAAAAAGGAAGGAAAAGATTATGTGTCAAGTAATGAACTTGGTTAGAATACAGGGAGGAAAATGGGGAAAAAAATTTTTAGTGTTTTGTGAATAACACAGGGAGGCAGAAAACAGACTCCTGTCAGGTCTGTCGCCGGGCTGGTTAATCTATTTAGAAAAGCAGGACAATGCCTTATTGAGTGGATTAAAAAAATTGTTTCAGATTTATAGGAAAACTGCAAGCAGTACAAAAATACCAGACATGCCCAGGTCACCCAGATGCTGACATCTTACCACATTTGCTCTATCATTGTCTCTTTCTCCATACACACATATACATATTATATTTTCCTGAGCCATTAATTTACAGACATGATCAAAATCAGAAAGTTAACAATTAGGAGACACCATTATCTCATCTGCAGACATCTCGATATCATGAGCCATTGAGGAGTCAGTTTGGGACCAAGAACTCCCCCTGTCCATCTGGTCTCCTTTGGTCTGGAGCAGTACTGACACCATCCTGGTCTCTCATGACCTTGACAAGCTTGAGGAGTGTAGGCCCCTTATTTGGTTAAATGTTCCTTAGGTTGGATTGGTCCAGTGTTGTCTCATGATTAGGTTCAGATTATGCAGTTTGGGCAGGAATGTGCTTTTGCATTTTAGGTCATATCCACATTCACACTTGAATCCAATTGTAAAAACTTTTAATTTGAGGTCCTATCTAGTGGTCACAAGGGTTTTAAGTGAATATGTAAAATTTTATAAGAAAATCCCAAAATTGAAAATCCAAATATTTTAAGCTAGTTCCCAGGTAGTCACCAAAAGTGTGTAAATGCTGCTCTTTAGTTATGAATGGTAGTTACAGTGACATGTCCATGAACTTGATGGGTGTATAGCAAAGTATTTGATGTGGGTTCTTCGTGAGCACTGACTTCACGTATGCTGCTCTGAGTATTAATTTCCTAAGTGTGATGGTTCCTTCCTGAGCAAAGCCATTTGCTGAAGATGGATACAGGTCTATGAACAGTTTTCCTGAGTGGCCATTCCAGGCTTGCTGGTGACTGTTCGCATATTGATTGGGTGCTGAGTAAAGAAATAATTTCCATTTTGTTTGTTTGTAAGTGGGAAAACTTCTGCTTAGAGGTGGCCGCCAGTTTTATCATTCCCGGATGGAGGCTGATTTCCCAGAGACCTTCCTTTCTGGGGGAAAGCTACTGAGGTAGATTCTTTAGATTTGTAAGTATAAGGCAACCATTTATTTTTCCCTCAGAGAAAACTCTGAAGCTGCCCCACATCTGAATGTGAGGCAGATGATTGACTTGTTACATGATCTCTGCATCCAAGGGAAAATACTGTGGCTTTCCCAGGACTGTTCCCTGGATGAGGTGGAAAAGGTTTGCTTTCCTATATATGGAATTAGAGTAGACGTTTAGGTTCTGCATATGGTGCTATTTAAAGTTGAGTAGCTGAGCTTTTGGGAAATGTACCATTAGCTATTAGGATTACCTTATCAGGGTCATAGAAGCCACCCAGGAGTTTGGGAAAGTGTTTTCTACTTAAAGGATTACATGTCCCTATGAAGGGCCACCTGGGGTGGGAAATGAGACCTTCCTTCTCTCCCTCGGTCAGAAGGACTGGGGGCCGGACATGCACGGCTTGGAAGGTCAGGAAGGCCTGCGGGTGGGAGCTGAGTTGGTTCCCACACCGGGAAGTTCGCTGGGCCTGCCAGGCTCTGAGGATCACGTTCCACTGAGTGATCTCTTCTGTCAGCTATGTAGGCCGTGCTGGGTCTGCTGCTTTGTTACCACTAAAGCACTAGGTCAAAACCTGATGTTAGCTGGGCTCTGAGTGGTTAAGGGACCAACGTATTTAAAATGAACCCAGGATTTTGTTTGTATTCAGGAATGGTGAGGCCAATAGGTCAGGAGATGACTGCCATTGAAAAGATAGTTTGTTGCTGGTAGCTCCCGAGAAGAGGGCACATGTCAGACCCCACAGGGCCCCATGCGGAGCCAGAGGTCTGGCACTGGAGGGGTGAGGGGAGAGTGTGCGAGAGCCTCTGCTGCGCTGTTTGTGGGGAGGAGTGAATGGAGGAGGTGGGATAGACGGGCAGGCAGTTGGATGGGCTAGCCAGTGACTTCAGGGGGCTCTGGGGTGCAGGGTCGTCCAGCGGTCTCTGCTACCCAGCCCTTGGTGATGAGGACACTGGAATATTGGTTCAATCTGTGAGAACTCGATAAAGAATCCCCCTTTTCTAGGTTCAGGCTCAGGACTGGTTGGGGTGCATATGAAAGGCCCACTCCAGGGGGTCCTTTGCTGCCTTGGGGAGTTGGCTAGCCACAGAAGGGACAGTCTGTCCAGGTTCAGCAAGGCCCCAGATACCAGAGCATCAAGAACACAGAAAATAAGAAAAACATAATTAACGTACAGTTAGTATCTAGTCTGGAGTGAACAGGCCTGGGGAAAGGAGGGCAGCATTTGGATCTGGAGCCCTGGGATATCTAATATGGACAGGCTCATGGAATGTGTGTCTATTTCTTATGGGAGGCCAAAAATTAATTACGAAGATAGAGGAATGGATTTTCAATGATCCACAGCAGTTGGTTTATTAGTTTCATATTGCTGTGTAACAAATTACCACAGACTTAGTGGTAATTACCATTCATTATCTTGCTCTTCTGAAAATCAGGCATCCGATGGACTTGGCACTCTGCTTAGGGTCAGTCTCACAAGTCTGAAATCAAGGTGCACCGGCTGCGAGGCTCCTCTCTAGTGGCTCTGGGGGAGCGTCTGCACCCACCCCCATTCAGGGTGCTGACAGAATTCATCTCCTCTGGGTGTAGGACTCAGTCTCCGGCCCTTCCATCTCTGAGTCAGCACCATGGTCTGGGCCGTCCTTATGCTGGGAACCTCTCTGGCCTCTTCTATGTCCCGTTTCCCTGATTTCCAGCTGGAGAAAGTTCTTGGCTTTTAAGGGCTCATGTGATTATATTGGGCCCATCTGAATAATCTGAAATTATGTCCCTATTTTAAGGTCTATAATCTTAACTACATCTGCAAAGTTCCTTTGAATGCCACATAATACTTCAAATTCATGGTTTTCAGCAACTGGGATTTGGAAATTGAGTGGCAAGGCCGTTTTGTCTACCACAGGGGCATTTATGATAAATGTAAAATATCAAACACTTGGATAAACTAGTATTTGCCAGATTTGTCCACTATAAAATTACTATTTTTTCTTTTTAGTTAATAAATATTTATTGGGAGGGATATTTTGAGACTATGCAAATACCCAGTTTTTCCTTAAATATTCGCCTGCTAATTTGAGCATCCATTAGTGACTGTTACCTGCATACATTATTACTGTAGTATTCTAGTAGTGATTTTTCTATTTCCCTCATTGCTTCTATATTTACTAATTGAAATTATTCTGTAAGGAAAGGTGTCTCTTCTACCCTATTTCCTCATTTCTTCAGTTATTTATTTATATCCATTTGGATCAAATGATATTTTTTTATTCTTTGGTTTATAACCCAATGCAATTGTTGTTTTCTTGCTCAAATGGCTTTGGCCATTGGAAATACTTTCTGGTCGGCTCCTGGGGCCTTTCAACACGTCCTCATCCTTTACAAGCACTTTCTTACTTTCTGTCACTACAGTTTGCTCCAAGATCAACTTGCATTTTCTCTGCTTTAGCCTAAAAATCAACCACTTTTTCAGGGAGTCATGGTTCCTTTTACTGGACAATGGTATTTAGAAACCAAGATCTGGGCCCTAGGTATAGTCTTCATGACTGGCATGTTATCTCTTCCAAGTCCTCTAGGCGGACAGGTCTAGGAAATACATGTATGTACACTAATCTGTAGATGCTCACACCTCTGTTCACCTCAGTCTCCAGCCTCATGCCTGTGTTTCTAGTTTCCTTATTTGTAATTTCATTCTGAAAGAAAAAAAAAGCTGATTCTCAGCGTCTACCATGTATTTACTCATTTGCTCAATCCTAGTATACATATAGTTTTAGAGTTGAAAACTCTATGTATTTTTACTGTGAAAAACAAACTTACCAGCACTCATGTACCCTTTGTGTATAGTTATTTTTGTCTTTAGCCTCATGTATCAAGTTAAAGTGCTCTTATCCAAAGTTACTTAGGTTTTCTCTTCTCCTCCCGTCCCTCCAGGGTAGTCATGCCATTAACTTGTAAGCCAGTCAGATTTGTGTGGCACAATCTGTGTTCCATCTTGGGTGTCCTCCTCTTCCCCACATCCGGATGGACTTTTTGTTCGTTTTAAGCGTGTTTTCTTGTTCTTTTTCAGTGCCTCATCTTGTTGCCCATTCTGTTCATCTTTTCTCTACTTTCTTTAACATCACTGATGATCACCCTTGGTTCTACTTCTGTTGATCATTTTTCCATCTTATTTCAGTCTCCTTATCCAATTTCTTCATATGTCTGGTAATTTTACTGTATGCTGAACATGGTAGATAATAGACTGCAGAGGTTGTGGGCTATGTTAAGTTGCTGGAGAATCGCGTCTGTCCTGCCAGGGCTTGGCTGTAGGCCTCATGAGGGCAGACCTGCTCTGTCTTTGCCTTTACTCCTATGGTAAGATTCTTGCTGAGGCTCCTCTGAAAGCCTGGGGCATTCACCAAGCTCTCACAGTGTTTCTCCAGTAAAGGTGTGAGCTCTACTAGGTTATCAGCCTCTTAGCAACTCTTTTTTCTTGGATTTCCCATGGTCTCATCCTGAAATTGCACAACTTTGGAACTGGCCAAGTATCTGAGAGATTATCTGTATCTTCTCAGTAGTTCCCCAGTATTGCTGCTCTGCCTGCCACCCCTTGCAGGTCCCTGCAGTCCCTTGCCACCCTAGCCTGATCTCTGTTTCTTCATCTCTCTGCTTGAGCTCTTTCTCCCTGTGTAACAGTTGGAAAAGTACCTTCAGGGAGAAAACCAGGATCAGTGCAGGGTTCACCTCTCTTTCTTTCTTTCTTTCAAGGATCATAGCCCTGCAATGTTTGCCACTCAGTGTCTGCAAACAAATGCTTTGTACATTCTGTTCAGCTTTTATAGTTGTTTTCAGTGGAAGTAGAAGCTCTGCATTTGCTACTACACCAATTTTTTTCTTAAGAAAGCTTGCATTTCAACTCTGTCAAGCAGGTGGGAGGAGAAGAACACGCTCATCTGATTTGACAGAGAAGTGTTATAAAGATTTGTACAGTTAGTTATACAGAGTTATCAATTGCATCATTATTAGTGAAAAACCAAATTATCAACTGAAACAACCAATCAGAATAACAGGCTTCTTTTGGGGATTGCTTTTGTATCTAGACTTTTCGTAATCTTATGAGACTCCTTTGTTCAAACTACACTTCCACGATCTGATACATATTGAAAAAGAATGGGGCAAATGGTAATGAACAGTCACATGAATCTCCATACTGTCTGGAAAAACAAGGCTGATATTCTGAAGAAGTTGTCAATACCTCGCCAAATTTGATTGTTTTATTGAGCTTATAATGCAAAAACCACATCCGTCTCCCTGACCTGCAGGGGAGGACATCCCTTCATCTCCTTTCTCAAGATGTTTTACTGAATTGTGAAGACTTGCATTTTTAGAGCCAGACTCTGAAATTTCTTCATTTCAGGAGTTTCATTTGTAAGTGTAATAAGCAAAAATCAGGTTTGTAGAACTCAGATTTACTAGGAGAAATGACTAAAGATTTTTTATTTAATGACAGTGAATTAACTGGACATAGAGCTTTTTTCCCTTTATAATGGTAAGATGGGCTGTAAGAGGCTTGCATGTGACTTTGTGATTGTATCCTCCCCCTGTGCCCCAGCTGGCAGATAGATCCAAACAGCATAACCCTTCCTGGGACTGAAGCTCTGTGTATAATTTACTTGGATTAACAACCACCTAAGTGACCAAAGCATTCAACTAACCAGAAGGTCTCCTACTGCTTCACTTTCAGGAAAAAAAGAAGCAAATGATACCCAGACCAGCTTGTAACAGAGATCTAATCAGCAGATGTGTACGGATGAAAGTACAGGTACAAACGAACCTCTCGTGCTCTTTCGGATCGGCATCTAAATGACTATAGAATGATTGCTGGTATTCAGAATGTCAAAGTAGGATGTAGAATCAGCAAAAGGCTGAGCAATTCAACTTCCAATAAGAGTTCAAACACTTCTAAAAACGATTCCAGGTGTTCCACTGTATTCTACGTTGGGGGAATGGAAATATGAGAAAACTTTTCTCTGCATCAGGAGGATTATGACCCCAGCCACCCTTTGTCCACTTTTGGCAAAGGGAGTGGAACAGCCATTCCGTGAGAAAGAGACTTCCTCCCCTGTATCCTTAGGAGACTCCTTCCATCTCTTTTCGTCTTCCCTGTATCCGGACAGTCTTCTGAGAACAAGGCTTCAACTGTCAGCCTGTCAACTGGGGGACAGTTTGCATGCCAGGCGGCTCCAGATTTAAGAGTGGGGTCTGCATCCTCCCACTGCCACTCCCGGGCCGCTGCCCCTTCCATCTCTAGTTAATGTGCACTTGGAAGCTCGGGTGCCGTGCCTCGTCAGTCACCTGTCCTCCTTCACTGGTGACTGGGCTCCAACCTAGGAGCTCCAGTGAATTGTCGTCTCTGCCGCACCCATCCACTGTCATGCTGTGGAACTTGGCAACTACTTGAAGCTACTCTTTTTCTGACTCAAACAGGGCAAACATGGAGTATTTCAGACACAACCTTCCTTTCTCTCAACTTGCTTTCTTATGGCTACAGTATAGCTAGTAGCACACCTGTTCTTCCCCCAGGCACCTCCGGTTGACTTTCCTGTCCATCTCCCCACCTATTTATGAATCCATTTACCTACCCATTCATCAGTCACCATTTTCTACCTTCTATTTTCTGCCTATTACTGATAGAGTCTAGGATCCATCGTTTCAAATATTTCCCTGCAAATCCCAACCCTAGATGAACCATTTATGTTCTCCACATCTGCACACAGACTACTGAGAACAACTGGAGAAAAACACAACAGGGCAGATTGGTACCCATGAAAATAAATGGTCAGGGACCTCAACTAGGCCATCAATACTAGTGGGCAGCTTGGCCTATAAATTTCTGCAAAATCTCCTTTAAACCCATTCTAGCCTCAAATCTCCAACTCTCTTATTCTCAAGTAGTTCTGCCTTCCATTTCCCTGGAGAAATGGAAGCTATTAGATGGGCACTTCTACAGCCAACCATTTTTCCTCTTCCAAGAAAGGCTGACTCTCCTACATGTGCTCTTCATTCTGTGTCCTCGGGTTTCCCTTTAGGACACTAAATATTTTCTCTTCCTTTATTTCATTTCGATCTCCCTCCCTTTCCAAGACCCTTCCCACAGCACTATGCCATGTTCTTGTCTGTCTCATTATAACAAAAACAAGTCATCCCTGCTCCCCAAACCCTCTGGAAACCACACACTCTCCACCCACCATCACTCTCTCCCCATTTATCCTCACATCTCTGGCCTGAGTTGCCTACAGTTTCTCTTTCCTCAACCCCTATTCACCCCACAAATCCTCTCACCTAATTTCTGTTTCAACCAGTCCATGGAACAGTTCTTGCCAATGTCACCAGTTATTGCCATATCCCTTAGTCTAGCGTGCTCACTCTTACAGGCCTCATGTCACACAGCCTCTCAGAATCATTCCACTAAGCTGGCCACTTGCTCTTCTTAAAGACTTCTTCCTTTTAGCTTCTGTGACACCACATGTTCCAGGCTCCCTCCTGCCTCTCAAAGCTTTACCCTTTGCCAGTCACTCCTCCCCTAAGCTATAAATGTGGGAGTGCCCCAGGTCATAGCCACACCCTCTTCCCATGCCACCTGCTGCTGTCAAGGCACTCCATTCATCCCAGGCTTCAGTGGCTGTCTGTATTCCAAAGACTGCAACTTCTCTCTCCTGCCCACACTTCCCTTTGAAGTGTCCACTAGGCCTCTCCATCTAGATGCCCTGCAAAACCTCAACTCAAGTGCACCTAAAACTGAACTCATGATTCAGTCTCTTCCCCCAAATGTTCTCCAGCCAATGCTCCCACCCCCACCTAGTTGCTCAAACTGTCTACCTTGGAGTCACCCTTGCTTTCTCCTACTGCTTATTTGATTAGATGAGTGATTTCAGTGTAATATGGTAACTATCAAGATAGAGGCACATGAACTACAAAATGGAACAAAGATAAGTGGCATTTCACCCAACTGAAGAAATCTGCCAGTGTAACTGCTGTTGGATGACACACACAGACTATGGCCTTGGACACACAATTCAGAAAAAAGGGTGGCCAGCAATCCAGGGTTCATTTCAGCTTATCTCTGCCTGGTCTCTGTCCCCCATGGACTGATGTCCTTGGGAAACCCAAGGCAGCCTAGCAGCTCTGCCTCCCGTCAGTTGTCAGTGGAGCAGTAAAGAGCCTACTGGGTAATCTAGGTTGTCACCTTAGGCCCCTGATACAGCCATAAACCAAATTAACATTTAGATTATCCTATAAGACAATGCAAATCTGGAACATTGGTTACCATCCTGGTCATTCAGGAAGAAATTTCAAGAGAGAAGATTGGTTTAACTACATACATATACATTCAAAATCCCACCATTTTCATAGAGTAGGAGAAACATGCAAGCCTTATTATTTCTTTCATCACAAACGCCACAATAAGAAAGACGAATAATTATGAAATGTAGTACACCTTTAAAAAAAGGATACTTTCTACAGAGACCACTTTGCATTAAAACCTTAATTCTCAGTAGCCCTGCTGAGAATCTGACCAGCAGCCTGGGTCCCACATAACCTGGGCACAGAGCACCTGGGTTTTTAGGGCACATTTAGTCATGGTCACTGGGAGTTGCTCCTTCATTGAGTAGACTACCCAGCGGAACCCTCAAAGAGTTCAAGCTGAGATCACAGACACACAGCCAGGCTGTTGTGATGTGGTGTGACGTGTCCACCACATACAGTGTATGTGCAGTTAGAGGCAGAGGAGGGGCAGATCCGCTGACGAGGGGAGACTTCAGCTGGGTTGTTCAGGATGAACAGGAGTCCTCCAAACCACCGCAGGAAAGATGCACTTCAGGAAAAGAGAACAGGGCATTCAAAGGCTCATATGAGATCATAGTGGAAGTTTCTCACCTACAGCACTGAGGGGTGGTGGCAGGAGGTAATGGGAAAGGTGGACAGGGTACAAGTTGTGAAGAGTCTTCTGTGCCAGATAAACTATGGAGCAAGAACTTAGCTCTGTAAGTGGGAGAGCCTCTGAAATTTTGGGTAGGGGATGAATACATGAGACAAACATGTCTTTGGTTTCTTTTCATGGACCTCTTGCCCCTGACTGCAGAAAACTGAAATTATTCATCCACATGCAATTCTAGTATAAGTTCATGTCCCTATATGATAAAAACATATGTTGTATAATTTCAGGTGTAGGAAAATGAGGATGCCATGGTATGAAAATTAACTTTAGAAATTCCTGTACTTCTTCATGTTTATCTGGCTCCACTGTAATAAGAAAGGTGTTTACTCCTAAAACGCTTGCTAAATATATTATCTATGTGGTTAATGTTGCTGGGCAGCTGCGTCTGGGGAGGTCTCTCCCTGCGCATTAGGTGAAGCACCAGGAGAAACCTCAGTTTGGATGGGGGAGGGTTCTTGACTCTGAATGGGAAAGAATTCTCAAGAAGATCGGACAAGTGTAGGTAAGGAAGGATTTCATTAAAATGAGAGTAGCAGTGAATGGCAGGCAGCAGCTGTGTGGGCAGCAGGAAAAGCAGAAGGAGGAAAGGGAAATTCTTTGAACTCCTACTCCGCACAGGAGTTGAGATCCCTTGCCAGCTCCAAAAGCCAGGGTCACCTGGCATCCAGTGTCCACTTGAATCTGCATGCTGTGGGAACTAAGCCCCTACCACCCCAGGATTGAGGGAAGCCACAGAGCACTGGATGGGGTAAGATTATGTTCTGAGAACTTCCCAGGGGCAGAGAAAGGAGATTTTCGGGCAGGCTACTGAAAAGCATGGTCATATAGTTGCAGTCCCACCTGGGTCATCCAGGCAATGGGAACTTGCAAGCCCAAATCAGAGCTCTTAGCAGCCCCTCCCTACTTGTCTGGAGTAGAACAGAGACAGAGTGAAGACTTGTGCTTAAAACTGGAAAATAGAATGAAATAACAAAGTGACAAAGACACTTAACCATCAGAAGAGCACAGAGACAAAATGCCATAAGTTGAGCAGTGAAAAGGCTTTATTTGAAAAGTACACACTCAAAGAAAGGGGAGTGCGGGCAACCTCAGAGAGGAGGTGCACTTAGCGCTTAGGATTTTGTCTTTTAAGGCTTTTAAGAATGGGGCAAAGGGAGAGGTGGAGGTGTTGTTGGGCATAGCCGTGACTTGTGGTCTTCATGATGTCTTTTTCAGGTGAGAGACATTGTATCACCACCCACAACCAGTCCTAGATAATTCTGTAAGATAACACAGGAATTTATTGATCCAGTTCCTCTCCAAGATAGTGGTTTCCCTCAAGCACTGGTATATCAGTTAGGACTGCTTGCCCTGCCTTAAGATAGATGGTTGACTGATTACCAAAGAATACATTAGGAATCTTGCCTCCTATATTATCTATGTGGTTAATGTTGCTGGGTTTTAAAATGGAATCTTAGCCTTAAGATGGAGTTCTTCCTGTTCTTATTATACTGTTTATATCTTGGCATTTTCCATCATAGACAGGAGAAGTTTATCATGATGCTTGTCCCCTGCCCCTGTCCTGCTTCACTAAGGACACCAATCTTGGGCCATACTTATTCCTTTGCGTAGAATAGCTGGGCTCGGGTAGAGCTTGTTTAGTCTGAAAGGGCTTTTGCACAGGTCTGGGAGGTAATGCTGTGTGGGCTGTGAGGTACCTGGGCCACTTTAATTTGTCCTTGTTGCTCGGACCCAAGCAAAGCAGCCCTAAATGGGATGTCACCTCCAAGACAGTCAAGGCCCTCTTAGGCAGCTGTTGCTCACAGCCTTGGCAGGTCTCCAGA